TCTGGAACTCCGTGCCACAGGAATCCAGCCTGGCCCCCTCTTCGCTGTCCTTCTGCAAGGCAGTGAAGACCTTTCTGTTCAGGCAGGCTTTTCCTTAGTGACCGGCTGTCTGAGTGAGATTTTTCAAATAGATTGTTACGCTCTGCTGCGTTGAATAGTTTTAGTATTGATTTTATTTCTTGTTTTTAATATGATACTTGTATCATTCTCTTTTAATCTTTATATACTTACTGTTTCTAAGTATTTCCCCTTTCATGGTGTAAGCTGCCTTGGGTCCTTTTAAAGAGAAAGGCAGTGTAAAAATATTTTAAATTTAAAATAAAAAATAAGGCCAGTTTTCAAAATTGCATTGCTTATACAGCTCACTGAAGAGGCACATGGACTCCCAAGGAACTAGAGGGGTGCGGTTTATTATTATTATTATTGTTGTTGTTGTTGTTGTTGTTGTTGTTGTCGTCGTCGTCGTCGTCATCGTCGTCATCGTCGTTGTTGTACAGCCCATGTGCTAATGGAATACTATGAGTTAAAAGGAGACTGGGTGGTGTAGAGGGAAGTGGGTGTCGATGCAAATCCCCGCTCAAATAGCCAGGTGAATAGGATGGACCTTGGTTCTGACGTTGTGATAAGGTGGGAACGGAAGCGGCTAAGAACCTAGAGCCACTTTTTTTGTGGGTTTTCAGAAGCAAGAGGGCAGCACAGCTGTGGGCCTTACATGACACAGACATTCCCCCTTCCCCAAATTTGTGTTTCAGAGGTGGCACCCAAGGAGGAGGAAAAGAAAACATTTAGCTTGGAGGAGAAATCGAAGACCTCTCAGAAACGGGTTCACTACATGAAATTTGCCAAAGGTGAGGCGAAGGAGGTGGAAGGGGAAACCCAAGCCAGATCAGGGGTGGCCATTTCGGAATCCCTTCAGGGCTTGACCGCCACGGATGTGGGTTGTCTGGGAAATGCTTTGGAATACTTTTCCGCTGTTTAGTAAGCAAAGCAATCAGTCCATCCATAAAAATTGTTGTCAGTGTTAGTTTTACTTTCTTTATCAGTACAGTGGGACCCCCTTATCCGTGTGATCGGTATCTGCTGATTCACTTATCCACAATCTGAAAATGTTAAAAGAAAAATGACAGACAGACAGACAGACAGACAAACAGACAGACAGACAGAAAGATAGATAGATAAGTGAATCAGCAGATACGGATCCCGCAGATAAGGGGGTCCGTGAAAAATGACAGACAGACAGACAGAGAGACAGACAGACAGACAGACAGACAGATAGATAGATAGATAGATAGATAGATAGATAGATAGATAGATAGATAGATAGATAGATACTGTGTTTCCCTGAAGATAAAACAGGGTCTTATATTAATTTTTGTTCCAAAACCACATTAGAGCTTATTTTCAGGGGGGTGTTTCATTTCTTTCATGTACAACAATCTACATTTATTCAAGTGCAGTCATGTAATCTTCTGGTTGCTGCACAAGGGTAGAGGGTGGGCTTCACTTAACTGGGGCTTATTTTGGGGTAGGTCTTATATTACAAGCATCCTGAAAAATCATTACTAGGGCTTATTTTCAGGTTAGGGCTTATTTTCCGGAAAACAGGATAGATAGATAGATAGATATTCAGAAGGTGAAGTTGCCAGAACTGACCACTAGAGAGTGCCAGACACCATGCGATGTATATGGGTCACTAGCAAAGGATATTTCCAATATGTCATGACTAGAACTGGCCCTTAGAGGAGGCTAGAGACTATGCTATATATAGCGGTAGCTATCATCTGCGTTTTTCAGCATCCACAGGGAGGCGTGAAAACAATTCCCACAGATACACAGGGGTCCTACTGTATCACAAAAGACTTCTCAATAAAAAAAGGTCGTTGAACTAAAGTCTTTCATGGGGCTGCAAATCAATAAGGCCTATTTAATTGTGGTTTAAAATGTTATATTCAGCAAACTGAACTTGGATGAGTAGTTTTAATTGGAAAATATAAGAGACACAGCAATTCAATCATGTAATAGTACAGTGGTGCCTCGCTTAACGACAATAATCCATTCCAGGAAAATCGCAGTTAAGTGAAAACATCGTAAAGTGAAATAAAAAACCCCATTGAAACACATTGAAACCCATTCAGTGCGTTCCAATGGGGTAAAAACTCACCATCCAGCGAAGATCCTCCATACGGCGGCCATTTTTACTGCCTATATAGCGAGGAATCCGTCCCTAAGCACAGCGGGGAGCCATTTTAAGCACCTGGTGGTCATTTTGAAAACCCAATGATCAGCTGTTTTTGATCATCGTAAAGCAAAAATTGGTTCCCAAAGCAGGGAACCGATCATCGCTAAGCAAAATTCCCCCATTTAGCCCATCGTTTTGCGATTGCTATTGCAATCACAAAAAGATCGTGGTAAAGTTGATTCATCGTAATGTGGGGCAGTCGCTAAGTGAGGCACCACTGTACTGTATTTCTCATCTCTGCCCAAACAAACAGATCCGAAGAAGCATAGAGAAACTCCACCTGCACATGCATGAGATCCAGTGTGGAGAAGTAGGTAAAGTGCTAAGCTAGGGCTGAGATTTGAGTTCAAGTCTCCATCTGGGACCATGGGAATTCTTCAGAGGAGGGTGGACAGTGGTAAACCACTCCCTGAACATCTCACATGTTTCAAAAACTGTGAGGATGGTCGTAAGTGGAAAGTACTTTGATGGCCTGTACGCTTGGTTCAGGCCATAAAATAATGGCACGAGCCGGCAGGATTTTCTGCTGCTTAACCATTCTGACTCCTGGCAAACTTTTTCCGTGGTTTTCTCTTCCCTTCTGGGGGTGCCCTGGGACTAGTGCCCCCACCAAACTGGGTTTTCTCCCTGGAGAGACACTGAAGAACTGAATTCCCAGCCTCTGGCTTCATAGACAGATGCTTAAACCAATAAGTTATCCAGCGCTTTCTCCTGCTGAAGCCCTGGTGAAATGAAAGCGAACTGCACAGGTTGTAACTATGCCATCTTTGTGGAGAAATTAGGAAGTACAAACTGACCATTCTCTTTTCCCCCGTCCCCTGTATTGCTACTGGGCCCGTGTCATTTCAGTTGGACTTCTAGTTTCTGTTCCCTGCTGAATCACGGAAGGCAGGATGTGACCTTGGGCTATGACTCAGCCTGGTTCTATTTATTTGATTCATTCATTCATTCATTCATTCATTCATTCATTCATTCATTCATTCATTCATTCATTCATTCATTGCCCACCTAGTGGCAAGCCACTACCCTGGACATCAAAGCATGAAAGTATCCAACTCCCCTGCCCACCCATCCAAACAAACCATCCCCAAAGCATCACTCCCCCCCCAAAAAACCCCCCACCAAACCCAATGGTGTTGGCAGCCAGATAACAAAAATTAAAATCATAGAATCACAGAATCGTGGAGTTGGAAGAACTGTATAAGGCCATCGAGTCCAACGCCCTGCTCAAGGCAGGAATACAGATCAAAGCAGATCTGACAGGTGAGGGTCCAGTGTTCTCCTGAGTGCCTCCAGCCTTAGAGTGCTCACCACCTCCCCTTGAGGTCATGAGTTCCATTATTGTACTGCTCTTACAGTGAAGTTTTTCCCCTGATATTCAGCCTAAATCCCGCTTCCTGTATCTTGAGCCCATTGTTACTTCCACTTGGGAATCACCAAGAACTAAATCCTTTTCAGGTAGTTTTCTAGGTAGAAAGTACTCAGAAGGGCGTATCAAGAATTGAACACATGACATAACAGACTATCTTGGTTGGTTGGTTGGTTGGTTGGTTGGTTGGTTTGGTAGGTAGGTAGGTAGGTAGGTAGGTAGGTAGGTAGGTAGGTAGGTAGGTAGGTAGGTAGGTAGGTAGGTAGGTATACCACCTCATAAGTGCAGTGCACTGTTCTGAGCAGCCCACAAAATAATGAAGTAAACATGCAGATATCAGTAAGCACCGAACAGTGAACAAGCGAAAACAGTCAAAACATTAAAACTAATGACACCCAAGCATCTTCTCTCTCTCTCTCTGAGCCAGACAAGAGGTGTTATCTCTAGCAGGCTCACTGAGGGAGACCTCCCTCAAAAGCAATCTTTAAAGTTGCCCTCTGGAAGCTAGTAGGGAGGTGGGGGAGCAGCCCTGGCTCCTCTGGGAACGGGTTCTGCAAAGTCAGTGCCATGAGGAAGAGAGACCAAACCCCTCGCTGACGATTCCCAGGTCTCCTTCAGAGTAGCAACCCAGAGAAGCCTTTCCTGGGAAGATCTGGTGGGTTGGGAAGAGGTCATTGGTCAAGAGACACCCGGACAGGTAATAGTCTGTTATGAATTTATATGTGTTATGATTTAATAAATAATAATTGACCATCGTGATTACTTTACAAGGTTCTTGCATAGAGGAAATACAGGGAAGAAAAGCTGCGTGTTCCCCCTTGAGCTCGCTGAAGGGAAGCAGGAAAGGAGCTGCTCCTTGTGAATGACTAGGGGGTTCCTTTCTTTTCACAGGGAAAGATCTCTCTAACCGAAGTGAAGAAGACCTCTCCTGCATTTTTGGGAAACGCCAGTCCAACAAAAAGCAGGTTTGTGGCTCGCTTTCTCTCTCTCTCTCTCTCAATATTCTTTTTTTTTTTTTTTCCAGTATTTGGTATTTTCCTGTCTTGGAGCTGCCCATTGTAATTGTGAATATTTCCCATCAAGGCTGCCATTAAATATCAAGTCTGAGTGAGAATCCATGTATTGGGGAGCACGTTCCAGTGAAATGAGTAGGGCGGACTTCTTAGTAGGATCGTGAAATTGTGTTTTGCCTCCGCCTTAAATGAGTGCACCTACACTCCAGCCACACCAGCAGGAGTGTGATCCCTTTGTAGGTTTTGCAAACGATACTTTATGGTCCCCCTCTTTTAATCCCAGGAAGGAAATTGAGATTTGGTGGTGGAATCCTGCTCTAGGACAGTGTTCCCTGGCCGCAGGTCCCCAGATGATCTTGGACTTCTGATTCCCACAAGCCCTGGCCAGCACAGCTGGTGGTGGAGGCTGTCCCTAGCCTCAGCTCTCCAGATGATCTTGGACTTCTACTTCCCACAATCCCTGGCCAGCACAGCTGGTGGTGGAGGCTTCTGGGAGTTCTAGTCCGAGAACATCTGGAGACTGAAGGTTGGGAGCTAGAGAGAAGAAAGTGTGTCTGGAAAATGATGTTTGTGACTGGATAACAACAGCCTGAACAAAGAGATAGCAGCTGGGAAAACAGGGGGCATGGTTTTCTGGTGCTGGGTGGTGTTGCTGCTGGAAAGCCTATACCCAGTAATAATAAAATACAAAATAAATAAAATGTTTTTGCTTTTGGGTGAAATAGATCAGAGCACCTCTTGTTTAACTGTCAGGTATCAGAGAGCTAGGTATAATCTCCTAACACTTCTCGTTGACTTAATTCTGATTACTTACGGACTTCTAATTGCGAAGGATGTGACAAGATCCTTTGTCAAGGGTCCTTTGTCAAGGATGCCCTCCGGGCAAGACGGAGGTCCTTCGGGTGGGTGCCCCAGACATCAGTGGTCTGGGAAACTCCCTTTCCTTTGGGGGGGGTGTGTGTGACTATTACCACCAAGAGTGAGGTTTGCAGTTTGGGTGTACATCTGGACCCAGCGCTCACCACGGAGTCCCAGGTGTCGTCAGTGGTCCGTTCCGCACATTTCCACCATTGGCAGATTGCCCAGCTGCTTCCCCATCTTGATGTGGGGGCGCTAACCACGTTGATCCATGCGCTCGTAGTCTCAATATTAGACTACTGTAATGTGCTCTATGTGGGGCTGCCTTTGAGACTGACGCGGAAACTTCAGATGGTACAAAATGAGGTGGCCAGTCTTCTTACAGGGGTGAAAAGATACCAACATATTTCCCCCACACTGGCCGCCTTGCATGGGCTGCCCATTCGTTTCTACGTTGATTTCAAAATTCTTACAATGACATATAAAGCCCTAAATGGTTCTGCCAGAGTCACTCGTTCCAGCCAGGCTGGGCGTCTGAGGGGCCTAACGCCGAGGGAGGTCCGGAAGGAAAGAACGAGGAACCGGGCCTTCTCGGCAGTGGCTCCTCGCCTTTGGAACAACTTGTCCACCTGGCTCCCTCTCTGGGTGTCTTCAGAAGCAAACTCAAGACCTGGCTATTTGGCCAGACTTTCTCTCCTGCTGTATCTTAAATTCACATCTTACCATCTTGGATTTATAGTCCATTTTTGTGGTTTTATTGTTTTTAAATTTGTAAATCTCCCAAAGTAGACTTTTGGTCTAGATGGGCGGGGTAGAACTCCAATAAATAAATAAAATAAAATAATAAATAAGATAGGAGCCGATTAGCAGAGGAAACCAGCCGCTATTGACAGGTTGCCCTGGATATTCAGTCCCAGCTGGCCTTTTTGATCCTATTCTTTAGGTTTCATTTGTTTTTCAATTTGTATTGTGAATGATCCTTGACCGGAGGCTTTTGGATGGAGGTAGTGTCCTTTTAATGTTGTCTTGGGGAAAAAAGGGTTATGGGGTAAAGCAAACAGTCCCAGGGTGTCTGACCTGATCTGTCGGATAATGATACAACTTCCTGGAGTTTGCTGCGTCGGGGTGTGGCGAAGGCTCTGTTGGAAGGGGATTAGACAAATCCATGGAATCGAGATCAGCCTGCGCCTGTCGGGTGTGGCGAACAGCTCTGCAGCAAAATGTGGCAGCATGAAAGTCTACTTTTCTGGGATCCCCGCCGTGCCAGTTCTGACGGTTTCCAGTTATGATCCTCCTAGCTCCGTGTTGGCACAAGGTGCCCTCTCACCTCAGGCAGCTGGCGGGCAACCCCGCTGGCACCCTCTTCCCCACCGAAATCTGTCGGGAGAGGTTTGCAGTATGTGACTTTCAGTGGCTCGTCTCTCTGGGTTTAAGTGAACAAGTTGGCCAGAGCTGCATGCAGAATTGAACCTTCTCCCACTTAGATCTACTCGTATCACTCGTCACAGTCAGGAGGGACGGTTGAGGGGCCTTACCCTGAGGGAGGCCCAGAAAGAATGAACAAGAAACCGGGCCTTCTCGGCAGTGGCCCCTTGACTATGAAATAGTACGTACAGTGGTGCCCCGCATAGCGACATTAATCCGTTCCAGATTAATCGTCGCTATGCAGAAACATCACTAAATGGAACAGAAAAAGCCATAGGAACGCATTAAACTTCATTTAATGCGTTCCTATAGCTCCCATACTCACCGTTCAGCGAAGTTCCTCCATAGCGCCACCATTTTCGCACCCTCGGTAAGCGAGGACAGGGCGCGAAAACACTTGCGGTGGCCATTTTGGGCACCTGGTGGCCATTTTGGAACCACCGACCAGCTGTTTAAAAAAAATCGCAATGCGAAGATCGGTAAGCAAAACGCTTACCAATCATCGCAATGCGATGTTTTGCCTATTCAGAACATCGCAATTGCTATGCGGATTCATAGTTAAACGGTGCGCTCGTTAAGCAAGGCACCACTGTATTCCGTCTGTGATTCGCCAGGCTCCCTTGCTGGGTGTTTTCAAGAGTCAACTTAAGACCTGGCTCATCAGGCAGGCCTTCCCCATTGTCAGTACTTGAGTTTTACTTCTTATTTTAATTTTCTGCCTTTACTTTTTCATTTCATTGCTTTTCCATCTTGAGCTACACTATTATTACTATGCTTAAATTGTGGTCGTATTGAGTGTTTGAATTGTTGGCACAAGGTGCCCTCTCACCTCAGGCAGCCGGCGGGCAACATTCATACTTGGTGACATTGAGAAATTAACTAATCTGCTAGGAGCTAGAAGATAAGAGTAAGTGTTTGCGGCTGGATAAGGACCGTCTGAGCAAAGAGCTAAGGAAAGAGGGTGCGTGGTTTTTTCTGGTACTGAGCGATGTTGCTCCTGGAAAAAGCCCGTTGCTGTCATGTACCGCCAAGTCACTTCCGACTCATGGCGACCTGATGAACGAGGGATCTCCAGAACATCCTCTCCTCAACAGCCCTCCTCAGCTCTTGCAGAGGCAAGCCTGTGGCTGCCTTTCAGGAGTCAGTCCATCTAACATTTGGCTCTTCCTCTTTTCCTGCTGCCTTCCCCGTTTCCCAGCCTGATGGTCTTTTCCAGAGAATCCTGCCTTTTCAGGATGTGCCCAAAGCAGGATGCCCTCAGCTTCGGGCCTTTTTGCCTCCAGAGAGAGTTCAGACTTCATTAACTCTGAGACCCGCTTCTTTGCTCGAGGACTCACCCGTTCATCTTTCAGGCCAGCCAGAGTATCCTCAGAGCTCTCCTCCAGCACCACATTGCAAACTAATCTTTTTTTTTTCTTCTGTGAGTTTTCTTCACCGTCCAGTTTTCACACCTTGGTCTCCAGAGGCACATCCTTACCCTGGATGACCTTTTTGTAGTTCCTTCATGGCTGCTATTCTTGGTCATCTTTTTGCATAGCGATTGATCATAAACTACAAAATAAATCAAGTATTTTGCTTTTTTTGGGAGGGGATAAAGATTAGATCAGAACACCTAGGCCAGCATCTTGGATAGCCCCTGTCAAGTTCTGACAAGAAGCCGGAATAAACTCGCTGGTCCCCCATGAGACTGGAGTCGCCCACCTGCCCTGCACTCTGGCAGGGACCCTCCTCAAAGGGAAGGCGTTATGGGAGAAGGGACCACAGGGAGGTCTCGGCTTTGGCTGTTTTGCCTTGGCTGGAGGGGGAGCCTTTCCCATTTCTAGCTTTAAAACGGTGTGTGTGTGTTCCTATCACAGCTAAGTTCTGTGAATTTCGTTGTATGGGTATACTATGTATATACTTACAATGACCATTAATTTATTTGATTTAAGCATTGGGCAGGTGGCTCCTCTGGGGTTATTCTCTCCATAAGAAGGAGCATCTGATCGATCTCTGCTTTGTCCTTGAAGAGGGTTCCTTGTTGAGGAAAAGGGAAGGGAGACCGTTTGGACGAGGTTGGGCTTATTTTTATAAATAGGGAGGCAGAATTTGGTTCCGGACAATGGATTTGGGTTTCTCACCACCACCCCGTTCCAACCATTGCAGCCAGTAGCCAGGACGGTGGGAGTTGTGGTCTTCCAACATCTGCAAAGGCCACGGCCTTAGAGGATGGCTTGACGCAAGCTTCTCTCGTCTCAATCACAACGCAAGTCCCGGCCCACAGTCCCAAGAGAGGATGTCCACCGAGACTCCAGTTATCCGTGGAGTCTGTGGTTCGGCTACGAGTGGTGGATAACCACCGGATCCGGCCGTCTTTGGTCTTTGCCGTCTCCTCTTCTTGTTCTTAAGGCAGTGAGATGCCCGGTTGTTGGTAGCTCTGGACATCCGGTCCTTTGAGGAAGCTAGGGTGGGGCGAGGAGGCTGCTGCTCAGTGGGGAGGGATGGAGCAATGGGGGACGAGTGAAGCTTGTCCTTTTTTCAAGCCACCCGTGGCCTTCTGGGCAAAATCATCATCATCATCATAATCATCCCAGCCTTCCTTTGCCGTGATTCTCGTTTTTCTTTGGATCTGATGGTGGGGCAAGGAGGTTGGCAAGGGAGGAATGGTTTCAGAGGGGGGCCCGCCCTCC